CACATGGCGTTAAATTTTTATTGCGCTTATAGTAATGTAATACTAAATAATTATGTATGTTATGATATTTCATCTCAATTCAACAAAATATTCTTTTTCTCTTTTTTTCTGAACTATTTTCTCTCTTATTTTTCTTTATTGTTATTGTTATTATTATAATTATTATAATTATCATCATCATCATCATCATCGTCATTAACATCATCATCATCATCATCATCATCATCATCATCATCATCATCATCATCATCATCATTATTATTATTATTATTATTATATTATTATCATCATTATTTTTATTATTCATAGCAATAATGTTGTGCTCGCTCGTGTCTTAATACATGTAATAAATCCATGAAATGGCGTGTTCGATCTTCTTCAACCGGCCGGTACAGCAAAACAACTGAAAAAAGGTCTTTTAGACCTTAACTCAAGAAAACGATATAGCGACGATGTTAAAAGATCACATATATGGCGACTGTAGTATACACATTAATTGCATTTACATGCATTACCGTTTGGCACGTGCAGGGAACTGTAGAAAAGAACCTATTTTATATGTGATATTATACAAATATGGAATTTTTGATTGGTGAATAATGATGTGATATGTATTGGAAAGATAATTAAAATATATATTGACAAAGACGAGCTGAAAAGTGTCGATTTTCGTTGCACTCAATGGCAGATTTGATAATCCATATAAAAGCGATTTATAAATTATATGATAAAACAGATATGTACTTTTTAGTTGGTGAATATGACGTGATATATATTGACCGAGACTATCGCCTCGATCTGTACATATCACATCATATTCACCAGTTATAAAGTCCATATTTGTATCATATAACATTGTTAAAAATTGATTGCTATTGATTCATTTTAATCCATGTTTCATATTTTATTTGAAATATTGATAATTAGATATTTATATATCTGATGCCCCAAAACATAGCTGTTTTTATGTTTAAGAATGAATCTATTAATCAAACAGTGATTACAAGTGAGTATAAATAATAAATAAATATGCGCTAAAATAACAAAAAATATATTTAGTTAATTATATCATGTTTTATAATTACTGAGAGTTATCAGGGTTTTTGCTTAATGATAAAGCTAATCATCAAAGCTAATAATTTGTGACCACCGTATATCAAAGGAGCTCCACTGAGGTCAAAAAGCCTAGAAACATAAAATTTGAAATTCTTACAAAGATCAAGTTCAGCACTTAAAATGGGAATTTCTGCAAGATATAATAAAGAAATACACTCAGAATTAAACTGAACATCAATTTTTGTGCGATTTTTAGCCCGATTTGATTGAAAAACGTTGCAACGTTTCTTTTTTCATTTTGGGGTCTTTTTTAACAATAAAAGTAATTATTCTGAAAAAACAGCACGAAATCTCCAAATGGTATTTCCAGTGCCGTCATGTCTTACAAACTCAGTGAAGTCACTTTAAATGGTATGTCTAGTACACCGAGGGGAGCAGTTGCCTAGTGGTTAAGGTGTCTGCCTCTCAACCCAGAGATCATGGGTTTGAGCCCTACTCGGGTCACGACCATGTTTCTTCATATGACACCCGTACTGGTAGGTTCCAGGAAAAGGACTCGAAAGTGATTAATATAAGTTGCAAGAACTTGTTACGCAATCGAGCATAAATAAATATGTTTAAACTAAACTAATTAAAAGAATGTATTCTGTTTTCTTTTAAAATCAGTCGGAAAATTTTAGAACGACATGCGAAACCCAAGGGAATACCCAAGGTTCATCCTATATATTATGATGTACTTTAAGACAAGTTATAGATAAATTATCTAGTATGATAATGTAACAATGATAATTGTTATATAAATTATCAACTTTCACTTATCTACACACCTTGAGATAACAAATATTACCATATCAGCCTTTTTAAACGTAGCATTGAAATTAAATTTAAAAGATGTATAAGTATATTGTCTTTATATTATAGTTTCTTCTATTTTTTCTTTCGTTTATATATACCAAAACGACTTATTACAGAAGAAGGTGCCATTCACGCATATACGTGCAATATTAAAACACGAGCGGTGATACACCGCACACAGCTCTGCTTAATATTTCAGAGCAATTTTAAGAGATTAATTCTAATAGGTACAAACATTTTGGTAGTTGCTGACAGTTGGTGCTTAAGTTGTGTTTAGCCCTACTTTTATATAATGCAAAATACATATTTATACTGTGAAATACATAATATACTGTAAAATACGTAATATACTGTAAAATACACATGTATGTTAGAAGTAAATAGCAGTTCTTGCCTGTTACATGGGAGCGTTACTAAGAAACCAGTTGGAAGTAGGAAGTCCACATTTACGTCCTCAAATCCAGAGTCTCTCAAATCTAACAAATTCTGATCTGCCATCTGTTTTATTTTCCTGTCGTATCTATATATCATAAAACAAAATGAAATATGGTATTATGAAATATATAAGTATTATCAATAAACAGGGTATTGTGTTTGTTCTACCAATCAATTACCTATAAATAATACGACCCTTTATTGAGGCAAAATTGTAATTTAAAGGTGGTCGATTGTATATAATTAATAAAGCAAAAGTGTTTGGTAATATTCACCATCATTATTATGATCACCACCATAAACAAAATCATCATCGTTGAAAAAAACCCAAAAATACAACAACATCACTGCACATCATCATCATCATCATCATCATCATCATCATAACCATCATCATAACCATTATCATCATCACCATCATCATCATTATTATTATCAACAAAATCCTCATCGAAATAAACAACACTGAGCATCATTATCATCATCATCATCATCATCACCACAATCATAATCATGGAAACAAACAACAAAGCACATCATCATCATCATAGACACCATCATTGTCCCAACGTTGCCATCATAACCGTTATACATGTACTTATAATGATCATCATAACCACCAACAACAACAACAACAACAACAACAACAATACCGTCATAATCATCAACATTATAATCATGATCACTTTAAGTTCCCTTCAGTCGATAATAAATCTAATTTTTACAGTAGACTAAGTAATTGTCATTATAATATATAGAATAGAATATTCATTTTGACACTTACAACTGTATACTTAAAATATGGCAAACAAACTATCACCTGTTCACTCAATGTATCCTTACTTAATATATACTAGCATCTTTTAATATATGATAACTTTTATCGCGAATGACCATTATATATATATATTTATACTGGTATATTAATAACGGTGCATTATCCAATCACGGCATATAAACCCATGTACTTCCGCATTGCGCTCTGCGCAAAGTCACGATGCGCTACTTTTACTTATTGTTAATACTTATTGTTTACTTTTTATTGTACCTAAATCGTTATCTTACGAATATCTTATTTCACGACGTTTTGTTTAAATTTGTAATGTTATACATATACGAAAAGATAACGCTGGGGTTTTCCAGTATATCAGCATTCAAACTATTGTCATACATATTTCTTACATACATGGGTATTACGCATTTCGTTTAAACATCTGTAATATTTTGATTTGGGAAACCAATACGCGTACACTCACGGAAGGACACCTGATATACCGGTTTTTGATTATAAAAATATTGTTCTTCTATACAGTTTCAATCTCTTTAAAATCATATCCTAACTGACTTTGACCTGATTTAAATGAGATAAGTACAGTGCGTATGCATGCTGTGCATGCGCATATGTGCCCAAAGACACAGCCTAAATATCAGTTACATTTTTGATCCGATCATACTTACGTACATGTATTTTACAAATCAAAACATAAAAATTATGAAAAGTGAGTAAAAACATCATTTTTCTGTATTTATAGTTCATAACTTAAATGATACGGGTGGTATTATCATTATTCACTCATGCTTTTATTGTAAATTCATGTTCTTACATGATAACTTATAATAATAATAATAATAGATCTAATACAAAATGTAATAATAATAATAATAATCTATTGTCATATATACAACTGATATGCTGATTTTGATTGGTTTACTGGTATCATAATTATGAAAAATTAGTCATCGATCATATCGTATTTCTTTGTCCTGCAACTCTTTTAATGTCCCAAACAGGACTCCATACGTGATGTTGACTTTTGGCAGATGTTTAATTAGCTCTACGAAAGAAGATAATCAGGTAATTTTGTTGTCATTTGACGCCTGTATCATCTGGCTTCAGGCTTTCTTGATTAGTATTATGAAAAATATGATAAAAATCTGATTCTGGAAGACATTTTAGAAGTAAACAAACTTTGATGGCTGACAGATACTACATAATTATATATTATATTTCACATTTCGAAAGAATTTAACAAATGTAGATTTCTGATACATAATAAGTCGCTTATATATCATGGATCGGAGATATATCGTTCAGTAAAACTATCCTACTTGGCAATGGTCATCATAAAAATGACTAACTACGTAACTATGCCTTTATTCTCGTTGCTACGCATTTTTTTTCGCGTTATTACGCCTTTTGTTTCGCGTTATAACGCCTTTATTCGCGTTACAGCGCCTTTACATTTTTAAATTTTGTTTAATTTGATACTATTACGCTTTCGTAGTCATCAGTTGTAGTAAGAAATGATAAATCCCACGGAGAAAGAAGTACCAGTGTAGCAGATATGCCTCTCCTCAGTGAAATACATTCACATTAAACCAAACAAAAAAGTATCCGTAGTGTGGTTTAACCGAAATCGTGATATCGGATGTTTATAATTTTCTGCGCACGCGCATTTTTTGTTTCGGCTTTAGTCTCATGTACGAAGACAAATTAAAACAGAGGTCAGAACATTTGTTTCCGATCTGCTTTATTGATATATTAATCTACGAACTTACATATTAAGCTACTAAGGCTAGAATATTATCAGTATATCAAATTAATATTGCTATTGACCCTTTTTAATTAATCTTGCATTCCTGTCGTAAACAAATACCTGGCAAGAACCTGACCACCTACTATAAAAAGATTACGGTCGTGCCTGGCGAGTCATATTTTCTATAACATTTCGTAAAAAATGAGTCGTTTCGCATTTCTTGTCCTCGTTTTTGTGCCGTACGTGATGGGTCACGGTTATCTTGCGATCCCACCGGCAAGAAATTCGATGTGGAGGGAAGGGTTCAGCACGCCTAAAAACTACAACGATATGGGTTTAAACTGCGGTGGATATAGCGTAAGTAAAATGTAAAATGTATTTATTTATTATCACGGAATCTGAAGCAGTGGACATTTATTTATCTTATGCTTTATGATAAATATCTGCATATAACTTCAACATAAATTTTACTTTTCATTTGCTTGAAAGAATCAATGGGACAAACATGACGGCGAGTGCGGGTTGTGCGGGGATCCTGTGCAGAATTTAATGCCACGTGACCACGAAGCAGGCGGCATGAACGCGCCATATAACAGACCAATCAGCAGGTGTTATAATACACGAGATAACGTGATGGACATAACTGTACGAATCACAGCCTACCATAAAGGTATGTGCATCTTTTATTTTTTATTTTTGGCATTTGCGGCCGGTGGTAAAAGCCGCTGATTTTCAGTTACTTGTCCCTCATCGTAAATGGATAATATCGCTGACTTGCCCCTGAACCTTGGTTGATTAAAGTCGCCGACCTGTTATCGCTTGCACAGGGCCGTTGATTGGTTAAAGTTCGCCAACTTCCAGTCACTTTCCCCGGACCGTTGATTGGTTAATAATACAAATGTAGTCGCCAACATCCGGAAACTTGTCCGGACCGTTGTTTGGTTATAGGCGCCGACTTCCAGTGACTTGCCCCTCACCGTTGATTGTTATAATTTCGCCTGCTTCTAGTCATTAGTCTTGCCTGCAGCCGTTGACGAATTAATTGCTGACTTCAAGTACCTCTGAGCGTTGATTGTCTCAAGCAGCCGACTTCACGTAAAATAATATCCAAGACAATTGGTTGACTTCCAGTCATTTGCCGTTCACCACTGTGTGGTTTAGTCATTTGTCATTCAATTTGATTCCGTCACTACCAGAAGCTTTCCCAAAAGCTTACGGAAAGTTTCTAGCGTCCGCATGGGAAGCAATTATGTATCTTAGGACATTCTTTTGACAACGTTCACTACATTAAACGTCCTTTTAAAACGTTTTTCAAGGAAAACATCCTCTTTACACTTATGACCACGGAAAATATTCTCCTTTTATTGTTGTCTACGGAAAACGTCCTTATTTCATTGTTCGCTACTGAACACTATCCCCTATTATTGTTGACTACAGAAACAATCTTACCAATGTAAATCGTCTGTTCAATTTTCGTTACCATTATTTACATGCTTATGCAAGAAGGAAAATCAAACTGCCTTTCAGGTTATTTTGAATTCCGATTATGTGTCAATAACGATATGACGTCAGATGATGAAGATTGTGCAGAAGAAGGGATGCTATTAACAATCGCAGGGACCTACGGTGCAACGCGTTATGACATCAACAACGTGGAACAAGAGTTTTACACGTTTCAGCTAGATATGCCTCAGGGTATTGTGTGTACACAGTGTATTCTCCAATGGAAGTACAACGCAGGTTTTAATTATAATTCCTTTGCTCATTTTATTTAAATGGTAGTTTTTGGAAGTACTTTTTACAGCGGTATCGTTTGCCGTAAGTGTTGTTAGGCCATCAACTAAATGGTGTGCCATCTTGAGATCCTAGCATTCTGTACCTGCAAAATACAAAGTGTTAAAAAGCTAAGCGATGCTAACATCATACATGAAACAGTGAGTCATGTACAAACCTTCATCTGAGACAGAAACACGCGTCTGATTATTAATCATAAATGTAATTTCACATTTCGCATGTTTTAGCGTTAAATAATTAAAATCGCCCGAGAAAACAAGCGCATAGAAAGCACTTTTCAGCTTATTTTGGAAACTTTTCGCGATAGAACAGGTACTTTTCAGCTTATTAAAATGATATTTGAACTTATTTCCGCTTCTTGGAACATAGCAGTTCCAATGACGTGTGGAAATAACTGTTTGTGAGCCAAAGAGGACCCGAACGAACAATCACACGGTTGTGAATCATGTACCTACATCACAATGTCACTTTTTATGAAAAAAATGATATATCTACACGCTTGAACAGTATTAAGGTCAAACACAATCACGTCGGTTCTGTTGAATAAGCAAAATATCACTAGAGGGATTCAACAAGGGGTAATGCATGACGGGTAAAACAAGGGGTGATACATGAGGGGTTCAACAGGGGGTAATGCACCTTCCACAGAGGCTTTACATTAATCAATTTAGTTTTTCAGAGTGTTCTCGGGTTATTGCCACTAGTTTTTTGCGTGATTTTTGCTAAAATATGTAAGTGATATCCATATCTCAGAGGGGTTCCACAATCGAGCCAAATCCCTTTGAATCCGCACATGAATAAAACTACATGTGCTAAATGCCATAAAATTCAAAGATATAATCCTAACCTTTTCATTCCGCCATATAAACCAATCATACGCAATATATATTGATACATATTTAATAACTTTCTTTTGTAAAGGAAACAACTGGGGTTGCGATGATGATGATTGTGGAATGGGATTCGGAAAACAGGAAAATTTTATCAATTGTGCCGACATCGCAATTATTCCTGACTGTAACAATGTACCAGCCACTACAGGTAAACATTTCATTTGACATATAATTTTTAGGCAGTGACTAGCCATACGGACCCGTATTACTTCCCAAAACTTCTAGCCGTACGTACGGCTAGTCTATACGCACTGTTGAGGCTAGACGTACGGCATTTTTATAAAGGCGACACGCCTGCAGATATTAAAGAAACAATAATAAATAATATAATTTATTGAAAATAATAACAAAGGCAAGACAAATTAAAGTGTACAGTACAACCTCGACATAGTGGCTTTATGTAAAGCAATAACCTCATTAACAACCGGAAGTATCAGTATCCTCCGCAAATAAAGAAACAGCAACAACAACATCAAAACCTTACCAATATGTGGATTTTTCTTTGACATTTTTATCATGTAATCTGTCGTTGATTTTACAGACAGCGTGACCGTTACCACCTCGAAGGGGACAACAAACGCGCCTGTCAAAACTGATGGTCCTACAGCACAGCCTAATTGGGGATGCCAAGCTCTAGGTGTTTTTGCAGGGCTCGCCTACATGGATGGGTGGTGCACCTTCAACTGCCTGCACCCAGCCATTAAGATTTGTCCATTAACTTATTGTTCCTGTGGTGGGGACCAAGGACCACGTACTTGGTAGTTATTAAGCCAGATTAATGTAGTAATATGTCATTAGTACAAAACTTTGTATACTTAGTACTAGAACATGTATATACATGACGTGTTGGACAATAAATCTGATAACAACCTTACATATTTTTTGTCTTGATAGTTGTTATATGATACAACAATGTTCTACGTATTGTTTTTTTTTGTTTTTGTTTTTTTTACTTGGGTTTTACGTCACACCGACACAGTATAGGACATTTGGCGACGTTCCAGCTTTACTGGTGGAGGACGTTCCGTAAGCTAGCTGGATAGCTTCCTCACATGAAAGAATCCAAAGTCCCTATCGGGATTCGAACCCACAGCGGTGAGGGGCAAGTGATTTGAAGTCAACGACCTTAACCACTCGGTTACGGACGTCCCTCTACGTATTGTCTGAAGCTACATTACAGAACATCGGTCGTTCTAATCAGGTGCCCGTTCGTGCCTAAAATAATGCACCCGGGGTTGCTTTCACCAATTTAAGCTGGAAAATCGCCATATGACTTCTACTGTGTTAGTGCGACATAACAAAAAATTAAAACTTTTAAGCTAAAAGAAGTGAGCTCGTAGATCGAAATTCATTTTCCAACAAGATTTGAACTTTGACCCGGCACTAAATTCATTTTTCGATTTAGAGGCTTGTTTTAAATTTCGACTACATATCCATATCAGACCTGGTTTTATGGTCGGTATTCTAAATATATCAAACGCGAACAACGTGCTGACCTCGAATACAGAGCCAGCTTTTAGATCAAAATTGAAATATCGCGAATTCAGTGTCAAATCTAGGATCAATACATGTATATAACTAGCAGCAAAAAAGCTACTGACCTTATCTTTAAGTGGAATGGCAGGCTTGACATATTCATTCAATGAAGCCTGCTTAAAAATGTAGAGCTTTAAAGGATGATTGACCTTTGTCCTGATTAATAAAGAAGAGGACTACAGTGATGCGTGTATGTGGTCGCACTGTCACTTGATGCCTCTATGTGGTCGCACGGATGTTGTTGATTCGCGTTTATGGTCGCACGGAATTTATTGATGCCTGTATGTGGTCGCACAGATGTTCTTGATGGGTGTATGTGGTCGCACGGTCGATTCCTACTTAAAATCTTTGATGCATGTATGTGGTCGCACGGCCGATTCCTTCTCTTATGCAAGAGTGCTACTGTGCTTGTATGCACAGGAACGTCCCTACTTATACAGAAATGCTCTATTAATATCTAATACTCAGGCGTTTTCATTTGCACCAAAATACGTTTATATGGCCCCATCGTCTCGTCACCAATTCCACGACCAGTCTAAGATCTTTCCTTACCATATATTTGTTGCAAGTATATGTATATGTGTGGTAACACGTCTTTTCTATCCATAATTACCTAAAAAACGTATCTCTTGCTTGGTCTAATATGTTGTATTTTGGCCCTACTTGTTTCGTCTGTCTAAATTACAAATATGTAAGACTGTATTTTCCCCGTTAACTGTCACCAAAAGGGTAGTATCTAATGCTGCAGTCCTTTACTCGAACTACTTGTTCTTTGAAATATCCCAAAACGGACAGTGGATCCTTTAAACACGGTGTCCCTGCAACGAGACTTATAATGATAAACTTTGGACTAAAAAGCAAGTAAGACTTGTAAAGGAAGCATTTTCTTTTATAGCTTTTCTATGTTTCATTATTTTAATGGCATAATATGTAGCACCTGACAGTCCATTCGCACTGTTCGTTTGAAATGGCAAGAAAAGTAACTTTTCTCAGGCGTGTCATGTTTACTGTAAGAATTACGTCCCTTGTTTATTGTTTCTTCACTTTAGCCAAATCTTAAAATGAAGTTATATTAATGCCAATGTATGTGAATTACTTATGGTATACGATAACCTGTAGATTTATCTACATGTCGATAACAATTTTGCAATGACAATGCCGTATTAGACGATTTTGATGCCGAGTAGGCCAATTTTGATGCCGATTTGGCAAATCATGAGAACGATTTAACACGATCACATCAGCCCTTATAACAAAGGGATTAATGTGATCCAATATGTCTTCCGTAGTAAGTTATGGTTTAATTCGTCCAGTGAAAATAGACCTTCATGACCGTCTCGTCCTTTCCCTTTTTACTTACTATAATCTTAGTTTACTCGTGAAACATGTACATATGTAAGTATCTTAAATGGTCTCTTTTTCGCGTTTATTATCTCCATTAGCATTATAGAAAAAAATGCATACCATTACAAATCAGATACAAAGCGCATAAAGATAAAATATGTTTTAATTAATAAATATACGTAAATAGAATTAAAGTATGTAAGATGGTTGCGAAAAAGAATAAATTGTGTGAATAAATACATAACTTTAATAAAATAAATCATAAAGATTAAAATTATATGTTTTTTCAAGGATTATAAACGTTTTGTTATCTTTATGAAGTTCTTTTTTATTAGAATTCAAGAATTTTTGCCGCTGGATATAAGTTTTAAAAGATACACATCAGTTTAATATGGTTATTAATTTTTATATTCAATCTACCTTTCTGAAAACAGTAAAGATGGAAAGTATATTGTAAGAATCTTACACAGGCTGCCGGTACAGGAGGGTAACGACGGTAACTACCGGGCTCTACCGGGTTTCCGCTAAACAGTTTTCCAAGATATTCTTGTTTGAGACTAGCCGGTGATTGATTTTGTTTCTTGCCTATTTGTTATTACTAATATTTTCATTTATCACATTTTTTATAGAAGCGTGAGTTTACTACTTCATTCATAACGGCAAAATGATGTCATATTAAAAACCCAATTCTCCATAAATGACGTCATTCAAAGCATGCCACTTATGCCAGGTATATTGTGTCAACGTATGATTTTTGATTCGTGCTTTCGTGTATCAAATTTATTTCCAAGACAAGCCAGACAGCATGTTTTCTTATTGGACGAAAGGGGTAGAGTGTATGACAGGAGGAAGTCACACCGACACAGTAAATTTAAAAAATAAACAATAACACACCCCTCCCCACAAAAAAGTAAACAACAAATTTTCTTTTTTTTCAAACCAATATACAATGTAGCTGACATCAAAGGTTGTATCGCGATAAGTGTGCAGCCACTTGGCAAATTATCGTAAAATAGACATGTTATTTCCATTAGATGACGTCTGAACGAATTAATGTATATAACATTCCTCACTTTCCAGCTGAAAACAAATATTATTATTAAAGGAAACTCCTCTGAGGTCCAAAGCATCAAATCAAGACTGAAAAAATATATTAAAGGAGTTCCACTGAGGTCCAAAGCATCAATACATACATAAAATTATGTATATATTTGATTTTTTTTACAAAAAAAAAAACAGTCGGGCATTTAAAACAGGAAGATATGCAAAAGATTATCATGAAATATATTAATATGAAATATATTGAAAATCATATTTTGTGATATTCGTAACGCTTTTCATTTTATGGTCAATTTTCATGATAAGAATAATTATTCTTGTCAAATGGAGTCAGCGAATTATCTAACATTTTGCACAAAAGTTATTTGTCAAGCCCTACATCAAACGGAACATAAATCCCATCAAAATATTTCCAGATTTCAAGTCTCGTTATGTAAAAAAAAAAAAAACTCAGTGGAGTCCCTTTAATGATGATATATTTTTTCATCGGAAATGCATCATACAGTGATGCAGTGATATGTAATAATGTTGAATGTTTATGGTAGAATTAAAGACGACTGTAAATCGTTTCATTAATATACGGATAATAAAATGTTAACCTCTAAATTTTTTTAGTTGTTTCGGTTATTTATATAAAAAAAACGCCAACAACGCCGTTGGTTGGTCAAAAAAAAAAAAAAAAAAAAAAAACCAACCTTTTCAGTTGTTTAGTAAAAGTTCTAAATAGTTTTTTTTATTCATATAATTAAAAATAGTTTTGTCGTGCAGAAAATCAAACAAACAATATACATTCGTTTTGGTCTTGTAAATTTGTAATTCTTATAAAAAAGCGACTTCATTAAAAAAGAAGTACATGGATTTATCAATATTGCACTTGTAAAATATAGAAAAAAAATCATAATAGTTGAATATAATATTTATTTTTAAGTTCAGACCTCCAACAGATTTGGTACCTAAATATCTAATAAAAGACTTACATAAAGATAGCAATAAGTTATAAAGCATCGTACTCTAGATGTGTTAAAGTAATGTATTGATAGCGAATATCTCTACCCTAGATCTCGATTTACTAACATAGTTAAGTTTCATTATGTTTTGATGGAAAATACCTCTAACCTTTTTTCGACTTGATAACATAGTTTAGTTTCAAAATGTATTGATAGGCAAAGTCTTGACATTGCATCTTTTAAGGCGATCTTGACCTCTGACCTTGTGACCTGGTTCATGTGCAAGACACGAAGTCTAATGATGAACATTTGTGCAGAAAAAACTCAACTCATGTTATTTGAAAATTCCTTCATGCACAAAGAAGGTATGGCATGGACAAATTTGGATGCACGCACGCACACGCAAACACTGAACATCCATTTTGACAATTATGTCAAGCTCAGCGCAAGCAGGCTTAAATCCTCTGTCCACTAAGCATAATACTTCAAAGCATAAGCCAGATACAGTGCTGATAACCAAATTTATGTACATAAAGTTAGTTCCCTATTCCTTATTCCTTATTCCTTTTTCGAATAAGGAATAAGGAATCAGTTCCTTATTCCTTTTTCGAATAAGGAATAGGGAACTAGTTCCTGATTCCTTATTCAAATCTAAATAAGGAACAGCAGAATTAGTATTTATTTAAAATAAAATTTATACCTCATTCAAATCATTGCATAAAGAATCTGCATAAATTATTTTGAAAAAAAAATCGAATAAGGAATAGGGAACCAGTTCCTTATTCCTTATTCATCTCCGAATAAGGAACAGAAGTAAATACGTAAAGAAAAGACACCAGTTGCAATTATTTTTGATAAATCTGCATTAGAATTGCAAGGATCAATCATAAAAATCATGAAATAAAGCATCTGCATAAAAATATTTTTGAAAAAAATGTTAAAGTCGAATAAGGAATAGGG